CACTCTGGGATGCAGCCCCTCAGAGATATACCGATCAGCCTGCTTCAAGAGCTCTCCGACCATCAGGACAACGGACGTCGTTCCATCACCGGTGATATCGTCTTGTGCTGTGGCGGCTCGCGCAATCATAACCTTGTTTGTGTCAGTAAAAAGTGGTCTCCGAGTTCGAATCGCAGGTACCTTACGGCTGTTGGGTTTTGGATTTGCTGCGTCAGTTAGTATGGGTTCACAAGACATGACAGAGCATAACTTACCATCTCTCGCAAGAGCACATTGCCATCCTTAGTCAACTTGATCTGTATGGGACCCCCGTCAGATAACGTATTCTTCATTCAAAGAGGGATGGTCCATACTCCGCCAGCACCATCCACCAACCTACTTCGTGTCAGTACTGTGTCATTTTTGGACCATTTCAGAACCGAAACGTACATTTTCAGAGTCCCGGAGGGACCCAAATTGGACTTCAAGACATCCTGAAGGCCCTCACCAGCGCTAATGTTCACTTTTAAAGCTTCCGCCCTCCGCTGTGCACTGTCAGTGTGTGTCTAGATGACTGAGGGGCAGTTCGGAGCTTTTCCCATACCCTCGACTCGGCTTTGGGGTTCAGTAACTGAGTTGCAGACATCTCTGCAGATTGAAATCGATAACAGACGACAAAGCCCACGCGGAAATAATCGAAAGGAAAATGATCCTGTTGATACTGGCCGCCCAGAAAAGAAACCCGCGTTGGCACAAACTGCTGGTAGGCCCCGGCGAATGCGGTGAGCCTGAGTTTTGGCAAAAAGCCCACATTCGATGTTCGCACTAGCGCCGCCGCGAAAGAAAAAAAAGAGCTCTGACGGTTCGGACTCTCAAATCCACCTTCCAGCCCTTTTCCAACTCCACGTCGGGACACAACAAGTCTACAATCGCAGGTGACCGGTGACTGCGCAGTGGGCTTGGGTGCTCGGATCAATTAACTGACTTTTTTTTGTCTAATTTTGAGGTCATTAACACGATTTCGCCATGGCCGACTACCTTTTGTTCGAGGGCCCTATGGGTTACTCAATCTTCAAGGTCGCTCACCAGGGAGACAGCGTTGGGAATCGCTTGAAGGAGGTCCAGGATGGTGTCGATGATCTTGCTAGGTTTGGCAAGATGGTTGAACTCGCCAGTTTCTTGCCCTTCGAGTATGTTTTTGACGATCTATTCAATTTTTTCGCCTTTAAGCCGAAATGCGTATATGCTTACAAACTCTAGAAACAACAAGCAGGCTCTTAGCGAAATCAACGATGTTTCGGAAGGTGTCGCTTCTGACACTCTTATCAACTTTCTCGAATTAAACCTTCCAAAGGCCAGCAAAAAAAAGAAGATCGTTCTGGGACTTGCTGACAAGGCGCTCGCTTCAAGTATCAAATCTGCGTTCCCTTTTGTCGATTGCGAGACAGGAGACACCAGTGAAGTTGTGCAGGATCTGCTTCGTGGAATCAGGCTGCATGCTACTAAGTTGCTGAAGCAGCTCCGTGAGGGTGATATGAATACTGCCCAGCTTGGTCTCGGTCACGCCTACTCCCGTGCTAAGGTCAAGTTCTCCGTGCAGCGTGACGACAACCACATTATCCAGGCTATTGCAATTCTGGACCAGCTCGACAAGGCCATCAACACCTTCTCTATGAGAGTGAGAGAATGGTACTCGTGGCACTTCCCCGAACTTATCAAGATTGTTTCGGATAACCAGCGCTACGCTCAGATCGCACTCTTTGTCAAGGATAAAAAGACTTTGACTGATGAGAGATTGCACGACCTTGCTGCTCTTGTGGAGGATGACGAGGGTGTTGCTCAGAGCATCATCGATGCGGCCAAGCACAGCATGGGCCAGGAAATCTCCGAGTCGGATATGGAGAACGTCATTGCGTTCGCCTCAAGAGTTGTCAGCCTTTCCAAGTACCGCAAGTCGCTGCACTCTTACCTGGTTTCCAAGATGAGCGTCGTCGCTCCTAACCTTGCTACGTTGATTGGAGAGATTGTTGGCGCTCGTCTGATTTCGCACGCCGGAAGCTTGACCAACTTGTCCAAGTATCCCGCTTCCACTGTCCAGATTCTCGGCGCGGAGAAGGCCCTTTTTAGAGCTCTGAAGACCAAGGGAAACACTCCCAAGTACGGACTGCTGTACCACTCCTCTTTCATTGGTCGAGCTGGCCCCAAGAACAAGGGTAGAATCTCGCGATTCCTTGCAAACAAGTGCTCTATCGCTTCCAGAATCGATAACTTCTCCGAGCAACCCTCGACTAAGTTCGGAGAAATCCTGAAGAAGCAGGTTGAAGAACGCCTGGAGTTTTATGCTTCTGGCGCACCCCCAACTAAGAACGAAGTTGCCATGGTATGTGCTTTTACCTCTACGAAGATCCTATATGGGAAAGTCACTGACCTTCGCAGAAATCTGCCATGGATGCCGTTCTGGCCGAGATGGACATCGACGCTGATCAGAGCGACGCGGAGATGCAGGACGTCGATGACAAGGCTGAGAAGAAGGAGAAGAAGGAAAAGAAAGAAAAGAAGGACAAGAAGGAGAAGAAGGAGAAGAAGGACAAGAGCGAGAAGGAAGAAAAGAAGAAGAAGAAGCGGAAGTCCGACGTTGGCGAAGGCGAATCCGAGAAGAAGAAGCGCAAGCACGACAGCGATGCCGAGCCGTCCAAGAAGAAGAAGAAGGTCTAAGGGCACCACTCTATGTTGGGACTAAAAGGGCGTATCCGTCGCGGCGTTTGTAGGGTCGATTTGTCTTTTGTGATTTACCTTGTTCTGAATTTCCTTACATCTTCTTGTTCTGAACGACTCTGTTGGGCTGGGTATCTGTAAATTATATGATTGAATCCTATGTCGTGCTGAGTCTCTATAGTCTGCAGAATCTCATTTAGCTTCTAGCTATCTCATTTGAAATGCTGGAACGTACCTCGTTGAGGAAGACACAGGTCTAGATATCTAATGATCTGACGCGTTTTTGAGAAAATATCGTCATTCATGAGCTCATCAGTCTTGCTGATGAGAGAGTAAAAACATCATTATACATTATGTGAACCTTCCTTCTCCTCCTCCTCCTCCTCCTCCTCCTCCTCCTCCTCCTCTTCTTCTTCCTCTTCTTCTTCCTCTTCTTCACCCGCGCTACTATTATTCTCGTCGAAAGTTTCTCTAAGGGTCCATCTGCCGACGAATTTTTCATCTCTGACTGGATCTCGTAGCGAGACTTTGCGACTTTCCATCCACCGTAGTAGGTCTGACTTGCGTATGGTGACATAGTGACCAGGCTCATCGGCAGCCTGCTTTACCTTCCGTCTTTTAGAGGGCGTCTCAGGTTGAACAACACCCATTCCTTTGAGGGCCGTAATGACGTCTTCCGTCAGCATCCCAGTTGCCTGCCCTATATCCCGAATGGTCATGAAGGTTGATGAATGCCGTTTCCGACTCTCTTTGACCAGCTGTGTCTCTTGTACAGAAGCATCTGAATCGCCTGACAACAAACACCTTCCGATCCGTTCTTGCCAGAAGCGAGAATAGCTTCGCGCACCCATATCACTCAGCGGCTTCTCGGGACCGCCTATGAAACCCCCGTCTTCTTCCCAGGCACTGATTTTGTAGCTAATACCCATCAATAGCTTTCCGAGCTGCTTGTGTTGGTAAGGTGGGAAGATCAAAATGCAGGCAAGGTTGTTCGCGTCCCAGGACAGTTTCTCTTTCGAGAAAAATCCTAGAATATGGTATTTTTCGGGGTTCTCAGGATCGGTGAACGTGAGGATGTAGTAAAGAAAAGTCGCGACGTCGAAGAATACGGACTTGTGATCGAGAAACAGCTTCGCGAAGAGCGAGAGGTTTTGCGCATAGAGCTTGTGTTCTTCCCCGTCCACCTCCCATACTGAATATCCGCCATGTTCGTACACCTTGGCGCCGGGAGGTGTTGTCCGGTGTTCGCAGAGTCGCATGTGCTTCACATGGCTGTTCACGTCGCACGAGTAACAGAAACACCAGCAACAGACATTTAAACGGTCTGTGTCCTTGCTCACGAGGTCTTCGGGATAGATCGATTGATACCAAGTCTTGAATAAAAGGTCACCCAGTACAACCTGTTTCACGGTACGCTCGGTCGGGGATTTCACATGGGGTGAAGACGCGCGGTCGGCAGAGGCCATTGAGAGAGGAAATGGGAGACGTATCAAGGTCAAGGCTGTGTGAAAGAGACAGTTGCAATTCTATGTATACGACCCTTCCCCTGACGCTGAGCCATCTGCGTAGCCGTTGCTAGGAAGAATTCGGAGGAGAAGCGACGTCGGGATGTGGTTGAGTAATTATTTCCAGCGTGCAAGACAAGATAATGTTCGGAGGAGTTATTCTCAATAGAACACCGTATTGAGAATGATAACATTGAGACTATTGACGCAGGCAGGACAATGGATAGCACAAGCACATGAAGAGCTACATGTTCATACAGCCAATTGATAGTTGATGCTGTCTTGGCTGCATTCTGATGGATTATTTAGTGGCATTAATTCACGGTGTGTTACTCCTGTACTTAGCCTCAGAGGTACCTTTAGCTTTGACTCCGCCCATTATTATGATTAATATTAACCCCAAGTTGACGAAGCTCCAAACGCCAACAACATACATATTCTGTTGCCTGCTATCTATCTCTGCCTTTATGATTTGATGGATCTTATACATGAGCTCTGTCCAGCCAATATATTTTGATTGTCTTCGTCCTTTGTTGTATTGTGAACAAGGATACGGATAATCTGCTGCCAGTCAGAAGTTGTCGTCTTCCTTGTTGCCTCTACAGGCAGCAGCATAGCGGTGGCCTCGTCAGCTTCTCGCCACACCTCCCATGCTATCTCTATCTATTTGAAGCTTGTAGCTCTCATATTCTCCAGAATACTGTTCTTTCTGTCCTACCAATATTTTTTGCCGTTATCTGCATCCAGGTATTTCAGCTGTGTCTCTATTGACCACTCTCCGGTCGGTGGCTATCAGCCGTCATGTTGAAGCCATTTCAGATAAGAGATCTTCATGGATCTCCAACGCAAGAAGATGCGTACAACTCTCTCGACTGTCTGCCACAGGGACAGAATGGTCACAACTTCAGTAGACGCTCGGGAATCGTGCAGCTCTCGGCCTCTGACTACGATGAGATCGCATCGTCTCATCCCCGAGCCCGGTTGACATACGTGGATGATGATGACGGAGAGATTATCACTGTGAGTGTAACATACCTGTCAGATTTACACATTTAGTCTCTAATACATAAACTCCTAGGTTGGATCATCTCTTGAGCTTTCTCAACGTCTGGACGAACCTATATATGATATACCGACGCAGTCAAACCCAACACAAGAATCCACGATACCGGAAACCATGCATATCTTCGATATTCGCCGGTCTAATTCTGTCACTGAGCTGTGGAAGCGATTTCAGTATAATCCGACCGGTCGGGAAACAGAAGGCACAAAAAACGCAGTAGAGTCGACAGCAGACAAATCTGCTTCTCTCTTACAAGACAGCGGGGAATCAAATGCCGGTCTGCCTACAAATGATGGTCCCGAATCGCTTTTGGCAGCATTTGAAACAGAGATGGCCAGGGTTCTGAGCGCTTCAGAGTCTCGCAATACCAACAATGCAGAAGAGATTCCCTCTTCTACTGAAGTGCCAAACGAGTCGGCAAGTTCTAGCAGACGCACAAATCCCACTGTGGCCTTGGCTCAGGCGGTGCACCACCTGATCAACGGAGCTGAAATGATTGGCTCCGAAGTGATGTCAAGATTTCCAGAGTTGGAACATCAGTTAGGGCATCATCTGCAGAACGCTCAAAGAGTTCTGCCAGAAAACGTCGGGTCGACTGTCCAGGCAGCTCTTGCGAGCTTGGATGCTCAGATGAGGAATCTGACCAATGCGCTGAACAATGCAAGCAGTGCAAGGGATCAGAGAACCAGCAACACGTTCCGGGGCGATGTTTCTACTCCTGCAGAGGCTGTAGATAGTCTGTATACTATGGCTTCTGAGCTTGGCCAGATGGGACACACGCTATACTCGGCCTTTGAGACCGAGTTCGGTCCCCGTATTGGAGCAAGGGATGCAAATCAGCCGTTGAATGAAAATCTCCAAAACCCGGTGCCGGCTGACGAAGCAGCGGTGAACCGAGAGCCTTCAGAGGAAGATTCAGTTTCGAGCTCTAAGACTGAGAGGGAGATGAAGATCCCGTTAACCGCTGAAGAAACTGATACAACTTCAAAAGGGCAGGGAAGTAAAAACCGAGAGGAGCCGCGACCATTCACCAGCCGGGCTGAGGAGCCTGGTCTTGCTCAGTGCGTCCCATCGGAACAGGACGAGCCGTCAGAGCTCCCCGAATCTGTTCCTCATGACACACCTACTTTTGATCTTCCTTATAGGCCTCGTTCATGGCGCCGTTTCCCCCATCCGTCCCATCGTCATTCCTACCAGCACCATCATCCGCATCCTCATCCTCGTTCTCGGCCCCATCCCCCTCCCCCTCCACCTCACCGCCATCACGATATTCATCCCCATCCTCATCCTCCTCCCCACCACCACTCCCACTCTCCCCTATACACTTCCCCGCCCC